GGGGAACCGTGGAGAACTATTGCTTAATGCCGATTATACCTCTTGAAGGCTTTTTAATTAGATCACTTTAGAACAAGACACTAGTCTCCCCTTTGTAATGCTCCTGTTAACATTGGTTTGGAAGTACTGGGGTGTTCAAATGGGGAACTACAGGAAGATGGGTCACTTAACCAAATCTGAGTTCACAGTTTGTAGGTAAATCTATTTGGATGTGGTCATAAAATGCCGTAAAGTCTACAAAGGAGCATCAACGAAACTTAGCAGTGTTCCGCGTTTTCTAGACGGGGCTGTAACTGCCAATTCTAGAGCAGAGGTCAGTTCCACAGAAAGGACATTGCCGATTTACCTGAGCTGGGTGGACATCGTCTCCTCGGGGTGGAACTAAATGTTCAAAGCGGACGCTCCCAACTCCAACTCTGGTTTAGGAGTTCGTCTCCTCGGAGCTCGACTCACGCGAGCCAGGGGTCTTCAACAGTCTTTCACTTCAAAGTTACTGGGCGCCTCCATGAGTCGGGCCGTGGGGGTCTCTGGTCCGGGGTCCGGCGTCCGGAGTGTTTCTGCGTCCCGCCCCACAAGCAGGGACGGCGGTGGCCCCGGGACTCGAGGTCGGGATTCTAAGGGTCGCGCCAGCCCCACAAGTTTAAGGAGCCCTGAGGCCTTCGCAGGATTTGGGGTCGTCCCCTGCGGAGTGGGGGAGGGGGAGCGGACGTGCACGCGGGCGCGCTCTCAGGCCGCCTCGCGCCGCCGCCTTGGGAAGGCCGCGCGCTCCCGCAGGGCCGGGTTCCCGGGCGCCCCATGCAAATGAGCCCCGGTGCGCCCTCCCACCCCGCGCCTCCGGAAGTTGCGGGCCGGACGCCCGCTCCCCACCCCCCGGCAACCTCGTCCTTCCCCCGCCCGCCGTCCGCAGCGATGGCGGCGGCGATGGCGGCGCGGCGTGCGCGGCCCGTGCGGGTGCTGGTGGACATGGACGGCGTGCTGGCCGACTTCGAGGCGGGCCTCCTGCGGGGCTTCCGCCGCCGCTTCCCTGGGGAACCGCACGTGGCGCTGAAAGAGCGCCGCGGCTTTCTCGCCCGCGAGCAGTACCGAGCCTTGCGGCCGGACCTGGCGGTAGGTAGGGAGAGAGCGGGAGCGCAGCAAGGGGCGTGCGCTGGAGGGGAACTCCGACCCCACAGTGACCCCGGGAGCAGGAGCCCCGACCCCACAGGGCGCCCAGAAGCCGGGCGTCCCCACCTACAGAGAGCCGGGGAGCCAGGTGCCCCGACCACACAGTGTCCTCGGGAGCGGGAGCCTGGACCCCACATTGTCGCCAGCACCAAGTGCCCCGACCATACAATGTCCCCGGGAGCGGGAGCCCCGACCCCACAGAGAGCCGGGGAGCCAGGTGCCCCGACCACACAACGTCCCCGGAGCGGGAGCCTGGACCCCACATCGTCGCCAGGACCAAGTGCCCCGACCATACAATGTCCCCGGGAGCGGGAGCCCCGACCCCACAGAGAGCCGGGGAGCCAGGTGCCCCTACCACACAGTGTCTCCAGGAGCAGGAGCCTGGACCCCACATTGTCGCCAGGAGCGGGAGCCCAGACCCCACAGTTTCCCCGGGAGCCAGGTGCCCGACCCCCCAGTGTCTCCGGAAGCAGGGTACCTTGGCCCCACAGTGTCCCCGGAAGCAGGTAGCCCGGCCGCACAGGGCTCCTAGGAATGGGAGCCCTCCCCTTGGGCAAGACTGCCTCTGCTCCATTTCCAGAGACACCCCCTTTCTGTTTAACAGAATCCATTGTTCACTCTGGACAAGAAAGTCTGGAAGAATGCTTCCCCCTATGTAAAATTCCCTCCCTGTGGCTCTGATTTGGGGATGGGTCCCCCAGGAATCTTACTTTAAGAGTCCTCCCTGGGGCTAGATCTGCTGGAGGCAGAAGCTGGGACAAGAACACGGTATCTTTCAGGACAAAGTGGCCAGTGTGTATGAAGCCCCAGGCTTTTTCCTAGACTTGGAGCCTATCCCTGGAGCCTTGGAAGCCATGCAGGAGATGAACAACATGCAGGAGTGAGGAAGGGCAGAGAGGGAGGGGCGGTGGAGTAAGGGCGGGTACCACCCTAACCCATGCCCCTTCCACGCAGCACGGAGGTCTTCATCTGCTCCAGCCCTCTGCTGAAGTATGAACACTGTGTGGGTGAGAAGGTACGGTTACCCCAGCCCTTCATAGCAAACGGCTTCCTAAGTTCTGATGTTTAAAATAAACCAGCAGAACTTAAACACAGGAAGTGTGTGTGGGGGGGAAGGGAGCAGCATCTCACAAAGGCTGGAGACCCCATTCCCACCTTTTTACTCACTGGCCCTACTGACAGACCTGTGTCCTCACCTCAGTACCGCTGGGTGGAGAATCACCTGGGGCCCCAGTTTGTGGAGCGCATTATCCTGACGAGGGACAAGACGGTGGTCTTGGGGGACCTGCTCATTGATGACAAGGACACCATTCGAGGTTAGACCTGTTTTTCTGGCAACCTTCCAGGCATCTGGCCTGCTGGGATTAGGGAGAGGGAGTAAAATAACTAGATTACTGACTGCATCTCACTGCCTTTCTCCCACATCCTGTCCCAGGCCAAGAGGAGACCCCAAGCTGGGAGCACATCTTGTTCACCTGCTGCCACAACCAGCACCTAGCCCTACCCCCAACGAGGAGACGGCTGCTCTCCTGGAGTGACAACTGGAGGGAGATCATAGAAAGCAAGCAGGGGGACAGAACAGTGGATAGTAGCTGAAGGAAGGGAAGGCAGGCCAACAGGGAACCCCAGCAGAGCTGAATGGCAGGGCAGTGTCGTGGAGGTGGCCCCCAGCACCGCGGAGCAGGGAGACACCGTAACCTCCACTCTCAAAAGTCAGCCACCTGGAACCCAACAAGATGGCTGGCCAGGAAACATGGTGGGAAAATCACTCAGGAACCTTTTTAATAAAACACTTTGGCTCACCACTCTTTAAAGGCCCTTTATTCAGGAAAGTAAAGGGCCAGGAGCCCTAGGAGGGGCAGTCGGAATACAGGCTGATAGGCTTTCTCCTCCTCGTGTCCTTAGTCCAGTGGCTCCAGAACCTGCCCCACCTCCACAACCACAGACACCATCTCTCTTGCATCTGCTTTTCCTTGGCCATGTTAGAGGTCAACCTTGAGGGAGTGCAGAAGGGAGGCCAGGAAGTTCCCCATTGCTCTTGAACCCCAACTTTCCATGGGGGTCCCATACTGTTTCCCCTGTGCTGACCAGTGTACACTGTGGACTCCAAGCCACACACTTCTGTCAGTCTCTGGTCCTCTGTCTCCCTTGAGCACCACTCTTGCATTCCTGAAGCCCTTTTGTCTGAGACTCACTTCTAAGGGCAGGGACACCCCCCTCACTAACCCAACCCTGATGGGAGAGGAGGACCAGGACTTTCAGGCTGGGGCCATGGCGTGGTGAAGGAAGAGTACACAGCTTCAAGGGTTTATGCCTGTATTCTGAGGTGTCCTCACCCTCATGTCTTAATGCCTGACGGCTACCTTAACAGTCCGTGGGCTGTATCACTGAAGAGTAGGGGCACCTGGATGGCTCAGTTGGTTGGGTGTCTGGCTCTTGGTTTTGGCTCTGGTCGTGATCTTGGGGTCGTGGGATAAGGCCCTGCGTCGGGCTCTCCGCTGGGTGCAGATTCTGACTGTCCCTCTCCCTCTGCTCCTCCCCACACTCTCACTCACTCTACCACTAAATTTAAGGGGCACCGGGCGCCGCAGTTGGTTAAGCGACTGCCTTCGGCTCAGGTCATGATCCTGGAGTCCCTGGATCGAGTCCCGCATCAGGCTCCCTGCTCAACAGGGAGTCTGCTTCTCCCTCTGACCCTCCCCCCTCTCATGTGCTCTCATATAAATAAATAAAATCTTAAAAAAATAAAATAAATTTAAGGGGCGCCTGGGTGGCTCAGTCGTTAAGCATCTGCTTTTGGCTCAGGTCATGATCTCAGGGTCCTGGGATCGAGCCCTGCATTGGGCTCCCTGCTCTGCGGGAAGCCTGCTTCTCCCTCTCCCGCTCCCCCTGCTTGTGTTCCTGCTCTCGCTGTGTCTCTCTCTGTCAAATCAAACCTTTAAAAAAAATTTTAATTAAAAAAAACAAAAACAAAAAACGGGATGCCTGGGTGGCTCAGTCGGTTAAGTGTCTGCCTTCTGCTCAAGTCATGATTCCAGGGTCCTGGGATCGAGTCCCACATCGGGCTCCCTGCTCAGCGGGGAGCCTGCTTCTGCTGCCGCTCCATCTGCTTGTGCATTCTCTCTGACAAATAAATAAAATCTTAAAAAAAAAAAAAAAGAGACCACATCTTTGTCTTTGAAACGCCATGGTGTCTGGCAGATAGGCCCGTGTGGATAAACTGTTTGTGGGCCACAGAGTTTTCCAGGCCGGCATCAAGCACGCCCAGCGCCCAGCCTGGGGAGCTGGCAGTGCAGGTACCCAGCCTCCGTAACCCTGGAGTGGGCATGACATCTTCCCAGGGCCCTGAGCTGGCTTCTCATTTCTGTTCCTCAACATTATTTCAGGTACTTCTGTTAAAGAAGAATTCCTGTTTCCTCAAGCACAAGCAAGTCTAAATCCCAGGCCCAGCTGTTCCTCATGAAAAGCCCCTTCTGTAAAGCCTCTGAATCTAGGGTCCCAGCTGCTTCTCACAGGAGGTTGACAGCCTGGCAGTGAGGCGCTGGGGGTGGGGGCAGGAGGCAGGAGCTTGACCTTCAGCTGGTTGAGAGTGCCAACCTATGGAAATGGCATTGCCTTTGCTCTCCTCCATGTGTCTCAAAGTCTGGCCTCTTCTCTCAATGCCCCTCACCACAGTGTAAATACCTGTCACGCTGAGAAAACTCACCTTTAAAATAGCTGAAAGGACACCTTTTGGGGAGAACATGCTCAGTGGGAGCCAGGCTGCTCCTGCTCCCTGAGCCCCAACTAGGATTGTGGCCTCCTCTCTAGCAGTCAGGGTATCATGGCTATGAGGTCTCCCTGGATCAGGGCTGCTGTGGGGCCTCAGTCCTTGGCAGTGGGATACCCAGGGCAGAGTGAGCCCTCCAGGTGCGGGCTTCTGCCACCTGGCTTGGGGAACAGAAGTCTTCCAGGAAGATCTGGGCCAGGTTCCGGAGCCTCGTGTTGGCCGAGAGAGAGAAGCGCAGCATGCACTGGACCACGGGCATGGCGGTTAGCTCAGGGTGGGAGCCAGACCCTGGTGAGCTCAGGTACATGATCGTGGTGACAGCAGATAGCACGGTCTCCTCGTTGGGACTGGACAGGCAGTTGATGATGAGCGGGATGCCCCCTGTCTGCAGGATGTGCTCCTTGTTGGCCCTGTCTGGGCACAGGTTGCAGAGGCCTCCTGGGGAAGAACAAGGGGAGACTGGGTGCCTCAGGCCTGCGTATCCTCCCACCTCCCCTCCCAGCTCCTCTCTGCCCACTTTGTCCCAGGAACAAGGGATCCAAAGTCCATTCTGCTATCCATCCCTTCAAGGCTCCTGAAGGCCTGCCTGCCACAGCCTAGCCTTCAGGAAGTACGGGTACCAATCCCTTTCCTCCTTGGGTCAGCCAATTCAATGGTTGATATGCTTTCCTTTTTTTTTTTTTTTTTAAAGCAAAACCAAAAAACAAACTAAAAAAACCCCCAACCAAACAAAAAATAAAACCCATGATATATCACTTTACAGAATTAAAAAACGGGCACCTGGGTGGCTCAGTCGTTAAGCGTCTGCCTTCGGCTCAGGTCATGATCCCAGGGTCCTGGGATCGAGCCCCTGCATCGGGCTCCCTGCTCGGTGGGAAGCCTGCTTCTCCCTCTCCCACTCCCCCTGCTTGTGTTCCCTCTCTCACTGTCTCTATCAAATGAATATATAAAATCTTTAAAAAAAAATTAAAAAGCATAGGTAAGGTGATGATTTCACAGATGTATACATGCCAAAACTTGTCAAACTGTATCCTTTAAAGATGTACAACTTATTATATATCAATTATCTCAATAAAGCTGTTAAAAATACTAGAAGCCAAATTATAAACCATCTTAATCCTACCATCCAACATTTGCTTTTCCTTCCTCAACTTCAAAATATATGAATATATATAAACATTTAATAAAAATGTGATCCTTTCCTGTTTTGTAAGCCAGCTTTTTTCATTCAGCAATGGATTGTGAACATCTTTCCAGGCCAACATACCTACAACTGTGGCATCATTTATTTTTTATTTTTTTAACCATGGCATCATTTAATGGCTGTGCAGCGCACTACCTTATGGATGCAGTGTAATTTATTAAAACGCTAGAGCAAGGGGGGACAGGTGGGCCGGCAGGGACATGTCTCTTCCAGGGGCAGGAGTCTGCCCGGGGCCGGCACTACCACCCCCTCCCTCACAGTACCTGGGTCAGTTTGAGTCCTGCTATAGGGAAATATTTTTAAAAGTTTTATCCCTTCAGCCTCTACGGACTTCTCCCTGCGTTCAGAAGAAAATCCAAATTCCCCTTTGAGGTCTTCACGGCCCTGCGCCATCTGGTCTGGTCCTTCTCTGTCACTCCCAGCCTCAGCCCTTGGACCTTTTGGCCCCAGATTTTCACATGCTGCCTCCCTTTTGCTGGTAACCAAACCTCACTGCTCCCTCACCAGTAAGGTTCTCCTGGAACACCCCACTCCCCACCACGTCCAGGGCACTCCCCTCATCCCTGCATGCCATTTTCTTCATATGCTTAGAACCCCAAGAAACCACCCTGGCAGATTTGTCTTCTTGCTCACTAGCTGCCAAGCCCCACTAGAAGGCAGATGCCTTGAGGTCAAGACCGTGGCCGTCTTATTCCCACCCGGTCCTTGGTGCCTGGTGCAAGAAGAGCTCCACAAATACTTGTTGGAAGGACTGTAGAGCGGTGAGCTGGGGAAAAGGGTTGAACTGCAGAGAGCTGGGGTCTGGATGGTCGGCTCCCTGAGATGTCGCCTACCATGGACTTCTGCAGTTCTGGGATCCAAGTTGTGGCTCAGAGCACCTCTGAGGGAAGGAAGGAGCGGAGGGGCACTCCTGGAATCACGAGGCAAGGGAGATAAGGCACTCTGACAGAGAGGTCCCTCCCTATGGGACACGCAGAGGCCTGACCTGCTCATACCACCTCAGCACCCATTCACCCCCGTGGAGTCCTCAGCACATCCTGGGGCATCCTGTTGACTGCCTTCCCTACTTGCTCTGTCCCTGTCACTGGACATCATAAGGCAAGGCCCTGCTCTCTGGTTTACCTCTGTATCCCAGGCACCTGCAACTGTGGACACTCACTGGACACGTGCTGGGAACATGACTGAACTCCATGAAGTGTTACTATCGCCCCGATTTTAGTGGAAGCTGAGGCGGTTGAGTAAGTTGCCCGAAGTCCCAGAAGATGGGAAGCCCTATGCCACAGTCATGGGACAAGTGGCAATGCTCTGGCAGGCCTCTGGCTTCCCGGACACATCTACACCATCTCTTCTGAACTACCAGCAGTGAACCAGCCTCCTACCCACACTGTAGGTTAATTGACTGGGGGCAAGGGATGGGATTTATCTCTGTTGTAAAGTATGATAAGATGAAGTCTGAGTCACCCTTGGCCAGTGAGTCATCATCACACAGGGATGTGCCCGGGCGGGACATTGCCACCCAGGCCAGGGGATAATCAGATGGCATCTGTTGGAGGGTGAAGGCAGGAGGAGGCCTCCGGACAGCTGGCCCCATCTGCTCCCTATTTGTAGACCTAGGAAGTCTCCAAGGATGGATTCTGTGCCTGCCAGAGCTTGCCACTGCCTGGGACCCAACCACAGGGCATTCTTGAAGGCCCTCTGCCTTGCTGGCAGCGATCCTCAGAGTGGGAAACAAGAGTGAGTGCTTGGAAAGAGAAGGGCTTCAGGGGGCAAGGAGTCTGAATGGAAGCACCCAAAATGGATCCAGGGGACCCATGAGAAGCCAAGGCCACAGCTAA